CTCCCGTATACGCCAAATCATACCCATACCTCATCAGCCTAAAGCAAGATGTCGAAAAGAAAGTGAACAAATTGCTTGAAGATGGCATTATAAAGAAATCTAGGTCTCCTTACAACTCACCGGTCTGGGTTGTACCGAAGAAAGGAGATGCCTCAGGCGTGAAAAAGTATGGGATGGTAATCGAATGTATTTACACAGATAGGTACCCAATATCTGAAATAAATGAAGTACTTTCGCAACTAGGAAAGAACATCATCTTTTTTGTGTTTGACCTAAAAAGTGGTTTCCACCAAATTCCTCTTAAGGAATCTGCCGTGGGAAAAACAGCTTTTTCTGTGAACAATGGTAAATACGAGTTCACAAGATTGCCATTTGGTTTAAAGCATGCCCCATCCATTTTTCAACGGACTTTAGACGACATACTAACAGAACATATAGGACCAATATGCTACGTATATATAGACGATATCATTATATATAGCAAAACCGAAAAGAACGAAACATTCGCAAACACATAGACACAATTTTCGGACTCCTTAATAAAGCAAACATGAAAGAACAGATAGAGAAATGCTAGGATTTGTCGTATCCTCCGAAGGAATTTCCACATACCCATCCAAAATAGAATCAATAGAAAATTTCCCATATCCTCAAACGATCAAAGACTTAAAGTCATTTCTAGGCTTCTCTGTATATTATAGACGATTTATTAAAGATTACGCTAATCTGGCAAAGCCTTTATCATCTCTACTTCGAGGTGAAGAAGGAAGACTGTCAAAAAGCATCTCCAAGAAAATGCCGATAAATTTTAATGAAAATACAGAGGCAGCATTTAATAAGATCAGTTCCACCTTAATATCCAAAGACGTAATATTGCAGTACCCCGATTATAACAAAGACTTTGACCTTACCACTGATGCCTCACAATTTGCCACAGGCGCAGTTCTAGAACAAAACAGGAAACCAATCACCTTTATATATCAAGGACACTAAGCAAAACAAAGGAGAATTACGTTGTAAATGAAAAGGAAATGCTCGCTATAATTTAAGCAGTAAACTCGCTTAGAGATTATTTGTATGGAACAGCAAAAGTAATTATCCATACAGACCACCAACCACTCACTTACGCTATGAGCAACAAAAACAATAACACTAAACTAAAACGATGGAAGGCAATTATGGAAGACTACAATTACGAAATTAAGTATAAACCTGGAAAATCAAATGTGGTTGCCGACACATTATCAAGACCATTCGAAGTGAATTCTTTATCAGTAGCTACACCTATCGGAAATTATGCGCTGTCTCAAAACAGAATAGACCCATCTATTGTTCCAAGAACTTTTAGATAGCTCCACATTAAATACAACTACACCATACACTCCGCAATAGGAAAACGACCGATAGATACTTTTTTTGGCAGACGAGTCTTAATAGACCCCGAACAATATGAAAATGCACGCGGAGAAAACATAGACATACTTAAGAAAAGACAAGCGAAAGTCTTAGAAACCCATAACAAAATAAGACAACCCATAAAAACATATTCCCCTGGCGATATAATTTACGTCAGGATAAATAAACGACTAGGATCTAAACTTACTGCAAGATATAGGAAAGAAATAGTAAAAGAGGACAAATCCAGTATAGTAAGAGGACGGACAGTACACAAAAGTAATATCAGACGATAGTAAACGAAATTTTTGTCTTACCCCTCTCTTACAGATTCCTCGTACATTTAGTGTACGCAGACTTCAAAATAATTGATTACACGAATACACATTCGACACAGGACTGACAAAAATGCAAACTGGAACTTACAGAATAATCCATAAGAAAGATCTGGACACATGTCAGGAAAGGTTGAACGAAATAAGTAGAACCATAAAGGCAAAAATTACCCCACAAAATCCCCTTTTACCCATCCTCATCAACGAATTGAATTTAACGCAGACACATCTAGATAGGCTAAAATTTAAGAGATTTAAGAAGTCGATAGATGAAATAGGAAAAGTATGGAAATGGATCGCAGGAAGTCCTGGTCACGACGATCTTGTCATCCTGCATAGCCAAATAAATAAGATAATAGAAAATAACAACTACCAAGTAAACAATTCATAAATTAATTTTTGATATGAAAAATAATATAACAGCAGTTTCAAATAAAATTTTAAGAGCTTTTCAAACCGATGGAAGCATCCAACATAATTTTGCGACAGAATTCAAAATATAAAGTAAAGATAATGAAAGAAGAAATTACCAATATAGATTACGCAATTCATTGGGCTAAGGCCGGAATCGTAAATTCATACATTTTGTCAAAAGAGGAACTAGAATTAATTAGATCGGTATTTACTAATAACATTAAATAATGTTGAGGAATCTTTAGAACTAGCAAATATAAAAATAGTACCAAATAGTTCAATGATATTTTAAATTGTGGGTATACCCCTGACAAACGAGAAACTTGTAAAACGGTATTAATAAAGCCAATAAAAAAATGAATATGTTAATAAAATCCCATATGAGGAAATTATTAATTGTAAGGAAGATAAAATATTTGTAGTTAAATCAAAATGTAAGGAAAATAATAACTTAAGAATTTGTAATAATAAGAATATTATAGACATCAGTAATACAACCTGTGTCCCACAATTGTTAAAAAGTAGACCAGCAAAATGCACATTATTAAACAATCAACACATACCCTCAGTCGAAACCATTTCACCCGGAATAATACTTTTAAACCAGTATAAAGGCACAATCGAAATTGACAACCAAAAGATAGATCTTGAAGGATCATACGCAGTACAATTCCACAATTCCACAATTCCACGGTTATAATCGATAACCAAAAATCACATTCACATTAACAACACAAAGCACTGGAAACAACCCACACAGCAGCTCTAATAACAAAATTTTCGCTAACGATCACTAGCATCATCTTCATAGCAGCTCTAATAACAAAATTTTCGCTAACGATCACTAGCATTATCTTCATAGCAGCTTTGATTATCAAGTAATCATGAAAATAAATTTCAAAGCAGAACCAAAGCTATCGAGCTACAACGTGAACGCCAATAAGGCCGATACTCAAAAAGTAACAACACCCGAAACACTTTATTCAGTTCAAACAAACGAGGACGTTCGTTTTTGGCGGCGGAAGAGTTAGCACCAGCTAAGCTACAATCAAAGCAGACACCAACAACGTTGCACTAAATCAACAATTACAAAGAATTGTGCTCAGCAAAATTACCAGTATCGGCAACGCCATATCCGGCATGCGCCGATCAAAATGCTGGATCGACTTAAAATCGAATAAGCAAAATAAATCACATGCAATAACATCCGGCATGCGCCGACCCAGCACCAATCAATATATGGCTGANAAATCCGCTTCTCTTCTCTCCCCTACCCAACCATACGAGAGACTTCCTTACACATCATCTCCGATCCCAACCATTTCCAAACGAAGGCCTAAATCATTCTCACAACACCAAAAATTTTAGAACTTCATTTCAATGACTACAATTCACTTATTAGTTAAAATAATGTTGATGTATATACTAATTCTTTTATATTACTAAATTCGTTTTTCCCCGTAAACTCAAATTTTAGGCCCGCCCTCCTTCATTCATAGGAATAAATCTTAAAATCACATGTTTATAGTTTAAATAAGATTAAAAAGTATGTATATATACATATATATATATATATATATGGGTAAGTATAACAATAAAACAAAAAGAAGAGAGCAAGATTAAATATATATATAGGCAAAATTTATAACACTTACATATTTCTGATACTCCGAGCTGGATCAGCAGGCGCCTGGTGAGTGCTACGGTGTGGTGAGTTAAATGAGCGAGTTAATTTCAAGCCCTAAATATAATATTAATATGCGTACATATAAATTTACATGCTCTCCAAAAAACTACAAATTTCAAGTTCAAGGTTACAAACACTTCCGTTAGAAATTTACGCACTACCAGTGGCGGCGCAATAGAAAATTGAATGAGGTCAAATAAATTATACATTAATATTCTTCCTTCCCTGTTTTTTTTTTCTTTTCGGTCATTGATATTTAGTAGTAGTAATGGATATGTTTAGTTTTAAGTAGATCTAGCAAATGTTAATTAATGAATTACATAATTTAAGTGTTAATTACTAAATTTTACTTCATAATATGTTGTCTTTCTTTTTATTTCTGCTAAGCTTTTAAACTTAATTAAGTTTACGTATAGTTATCAAAAGTAATTTTTAGATTTCACTTTTTCCATTACGCCTACCAAGGCATTAGCGTTGCCTTTCTGACTAATTTCAGACTGAGTCATTTACATTTAAATCCATCCAATGAAATTCTGCTTTGACTGCAACATATTCGCTACGCTTTAGGGCTCTTATTTCGATGTTTGAGGTTAGCCGCCATGTGGCGGAGCACCTCCGTGACTTGACACTGGTACACGACTTTCAACAGATTTAGGTTAATTTTTCTTTCGGAAATCCAATAATGCTTTTAAAAATGCAAGTAATCCTAGGGATTTTCAAAAATTAGTTTCAAGTTTTTCATCCATTTGGCTAACAAAAAAAAATCTCACCTATATGGAAATATGCTGACACGGTACGCGTAAGCGACTCCAAGAGCTCGACTTACTTATATTGCAGTGGATGTAAATCGATTTAACCTTCCACTCTGAATCATCAACACTTTAATTAACAACGAAAAGTTGCATGTTTTTTGCATGATATGTGCCTAGGCTTTTACCTTCCAAATCTTCTAATGAGTAATAAGATGAACCTAATATCTCTCGCACTTTGGCTTTAAGGAAAGTTTTTGCCAGCTTTGCATTAAAATGTTTTGCCATGTTACCATGAGCAAAGTTTCTGCGTAAAACCTTTTGACCAACATTGTATTTTATTTCTCGAGTTCGCAGGTTATAACGATGTTCATTGCGATAATGGGCCTTCTCCAAATACCCGCGAACATTATCGCGTATACTTAAAAGTTTGTCGGAACGGGCTAGACTTTCTTTTGTTACGCCTTTGGTGATCATGTCAATATTTCGCAAAACTGCGTAGAAGTCCCCATGTAATACCATATGTTGACCAAATACGACAAAATAAGGACTGTATGCTATAGCTTGGTGGACAGAACTGCGAAGTGCGGCGTTTATACTGCTGAGGTAGCAATCCCAATCTCGCTGATCTTTCTGAATATAAGCTCTCAGAGCAGCATTTATGGAACGATTCACGCGTTCCGAAGCGTTGCTCTGGGGAGAGTGCACAGCCGTGAATATATGTTTGACCGCGCATTTGGTTAAATATGCTTCATAATCCTTTGATCGGAATTGATTGCCATTGTCGCTTACGATACTTTCTGGTACTCCAAACACGACAAATACTTGTCCTTTGAGAAATGTTTTAATTGGTTCGGTGTTGAGCTTTTTCAAAGGCCATAAAAAGGTAAATTTTTACATATGGCCTAAAACAATTAAAATACCTATATGTCCATTTTTCGACCTAGGAAAGGGGCCAATTAAATCGATGTATAGTCGCTGAAAAATTCTTTCTACAGGCATAATTTTTCCCATCGGTGAACGAAGAACTTTTGTTGGATGTTTTGTCATCTTGCATACTTGACAATTCATGACGTACTCTTTCACTGAGAAATATACGCCAGGCCAGTAGAAGTAGCGACGAACTCTTTCCATAGTCATCTTGCATACTTGACAATTCATGACGTACTCTTTCACTGAGAAATATACGCCAGGCCAGTAGAAGTAGCGACGAACTCTTTCCATAGTTTTGGCCAAACCACCATGAGTACTAGTCGGTACATCATGAGCATTTTTTATAACCTCTGTCTGTAGTGATTTTGGAACAACCAGTTTCCATGCCGAATCATCTTTACTTGGGTTTCCGGAATAAAACTCAGTCCGATGATAAATAAAATTTCCAGTAACTTTAAAATCTGGATATTTAGTTGCGTTCTTCTATAATTTTTCCTTCAACTCTACATATTCTTGCTCGGTAAACGCTGATGATGATAAATCAATTTCAGGAACATAATCGACTATGATGGATTCAAGCAATTCACCTTTGTCATGGCAGCGAGAAAGTGCGTCCGGAACAACATTTGCACTGCCTTTTCTGTGTTGAATCAAAAATTTATACCCTTGAAACTTTAAAGCCTAACGAGCCAACTGTCCACTCAAGTCGCTTTGGTTCATCAACCATTGTAGGCTCGCGTGATCTGTGATTATAGTAAATTCTTGTCCCTCCAAGTAAGCTCGAAATTTTTTTATTGCCAACACTGCTGCCAAACATTCACGCTCTGTCACCGAGTAGTTTTGTTGAGCCTTGTTTAACTTTTGAGACATATGTGCAATGGGAATTTCAACGCCTTCATCATTTTCTTGCACTAGTACAGCTCCCACACCGTGTTGACTTGCATCGCATTGTATAACAAGCGATTTGCTAAAGTTCGGATTAGCCAGAAATGGAGCGGTTGTGAGTTGGTGTTTAATTTCGTCAAAGAATCGCTGTGCTTTGTCAGACCAGATAAAAGGCCTATATTTCTTCAGAAGTTCTGTTAACGGATTAGATACTTCAGCAAAATTGGCTAAAAATCGTCTATACCATCCTACCATACCTAAAAATCTACGGAACTGCTTTACAGTTCTTGGTACTGGATACTCTGTTATCGCGGAAATTTTTCCTTTATCAGTTTTCAGAGTGCCCTGTCCCACAACGTAACCAAGATATTTTACTTCCTTTAAGCAAAATTTGCTTTTCTTAATGCTAATTGTTAGACCAGCTTTGCGGATGTGATCTGCAACTTCTTTGAGTAGCTCAACGTGCGATTCGGATATCAATAATAAATCGTCTGAGTAAACAAATACTTTCTCATTCAGGTAGTACGGAATGACAAGATCCATTAACCAACACATCGTTTGAGGCGAATTACACAACCCGAACGGCATTACGGTGAATTGATACAGTGGCCCATTTGGAATTGTGAAGGTAGTTTTTTCACGAGAATTCTTCTCTAGCGGGATTTGCCAAAAGGCATCTTTCAAATTCAGACTTGAAATGAATGCTCGTGGCAGTCTGGACAATATACCTTCGATGTGAGGCAGAGGATATGCATCCTTCACCGTTAAACTGTTTACTTTTCTAATATCTAAACACAATCGTACTTTCCTGGTTTGCGGACCAAAACCACTGGCGAAGACCAAGGACTTTTGGATTCTTCTATAACTCCAAGGGATATCATACGATCGATTTCGTCACACATAAATTTTTCCACCGCCGGTGAAACTGGAAAATGACGTTGTTTAATGGGTTTGGTACCGCCTACATCGATGACATGCTCCAAAAGTGAGGTTTTCCCGAGCCCCTGCACTCCGAACTTCGGAAAACATGAAATTGCCGAATTTAGAATACATTTCTGCTGATAGTTTAAGCTGTGTTGGTTTACATCTGGTTCGTTTGACTCAACTTCGCTAATGACATCTGTGGCTATTTGGAAGATTTTCCAAAAATCTATTCCGAGGTAAAGGTTTTGAACCAGGGAAGGTATTATATAGAATTCAAGATCATGAGAAACTGATTTGTAAGTTACAATAAGTTTTTTAATTCCTACAACGTGCTGTTTTGACCCGCTAGCTGTTTGCACAAAAGACTTTATTGGTTTAACTCCACGGTCTTCGGCTAGCAGTTCGCTTGCAAAATCACCGCCTATACAACTTACTGAGGCTCCTGAATCCAATAAGCCCAAATAAGTTTTATTTAAAATTTTTACAGAAGCATACGGTATAAGATCGTTAGGTTTGTGACAGATCTGTGAAAGGGACTTCAAAAGTTTTTGCTTTGACTTAATGGTCGACCAAAACTTATGAGCTCTTTCCGCTGATCGCGTTCGTTGAAAAATCCTCTTTCGTGTTTGTCGATAAAATTTTAGTCGTTCATGTAATGGCTTTAGGGGATATAATTGAGGTACATAGGGTGGTGCGTTTTCTTCATTTTTCAGAATTCTCACAGGAATATTTATATTTTTTGTTGTGGTTTGCGATTGGGATGCCTGTTCCTGTCGACGGCATCCCTGACCCTGTTTTCCGGATCGTTACATCTCGGACAATTGGGTAGGAAAAATTCAATCAGTCCACATCCGTAGCAAAATACACGTCTTTGCTTGACGCAACTCTTATAATTGTGACCCGTTTCATCGCAGTTCCATCATTGTTTTGATTCAGTTCGCTTTGATGAGAGTTTGACCTGTATTGTTGAGACTTCTTCCTTGGGAATCAGCTCATGCATTTCTATTTCAAAAAGTTCTCTTCTCCGCCCTTGAAATTGTCTCTGTTGTTGAGATTTACCCTGAATATCGGCAAAAAGGTTTTCCCGTTTTCGACAGGCTCTTCGAAGATCACATATTGTTTGAATATCAAGATGAAGCAGTTCCAATCGGATATTAGATTGTAAATTTCGAATAATAGTCTCTTCGATTTCACGTTCCATCATAGGGCTACGTAAACCCTCTGCGATGTTCATAACAGAATCGAGATAGGCTTCGAAAGATTCACCACTCTTTTGTTTTCTGTTGCGAATGGCCTCCTTTATGTCATAGTCTGTCCTAAAATCTTTGAAGTATCTACGCATATCCTCACAGATGTCCAGCCAATCAAGTACATTGGTAGAACGATGTTAACGCCAGAACCACCGCTTTGCTTTGCCTTCAAAGAGTACATGAACGTTTTGGCACATCATGACAAAATCACCATGTAAAGTTGAGCGAGTCAACGCATTAACTCTGTATATAAATTCGTCTACTGTAATACCGTCCAGTGAGCCATTAAAACATATTTTCCAGCCAGATATGATTTTCGCTGCTACCGATGAAGATACGGCTTCTGCATCTGCACGAGATCGTTCGAAATTCGAGCCCTCTCCTGACCGGATATCACGCCATTATCAGCTCCTAATCTTCTTTCGATATTTCCATTATTAGGTCGGTTCAGATTAAGGTTGCTAAAGTAATTTCTTAACGAATCTGTTACGATCCTATTGATTTCTTCCCTCATTTGACCTTCTGTTCTTGGTACTGCGCCCTTACTGACAGGTGCATCTAAAGTAGTCGGATCTTGCTCTGCGAAATTCTTTAAAGATTTACTATCGCACGAGCTTCTACATAAAGGACACGCATCGTTTTCTGTTAACCATCTATTTATACAGGACCGATGAAATGAATGCTGACAAGGGGTTGTACAAACATTGCCTTCAGTCATTTCTTCATTACATATCGTACATAGTGCTTGTCGAGTGCTTAAATTCGCCAAGTTTTCTGCGCTATGACGTACCGCCATTATATTTCGTATTCTTAACAACTAATCAAGATTAACTTATATCTTTGTATTTACAACAGATAAACTTTATTTTAGCGTTTAAAATAGTTTTATATAAGTAAGGATAGTGAGTATGATTTTTATNATATGTTTAATTTTAAGTAGATCTAGCAAATGTTAATTAATGAATTACATAATTTAATTATTAATTACTTCATTTTACTTCATAATATGTTGGCTTTCTTTTTATTTCTGCTAAGTTTTTAAAATTAATTAAGTTTACGAATAGTTATCAAAATTAATTTTTAGATTTCACTTTTTCCTTTTACGCCTACAAAGGCATTAGTGTTGCCTTTCTGACTAATTACAGACTGAGTCATTTACATTTAAATACATCCAACACCATGAAATTGGATGAATGATATTTTGTATATTTTAATTACTGTCAGTCAGAATTTCAATGAAATTCTGCTTTGACTGCAACATATTCGCTACACTTTAGGGCTCTTATTTCGATGTTTGAGGTTAGCCGCCATGTGGCGGAGCACCTCCGTGACTTGACACTGGTACACGACTTTCAGCAGATTTAGGTTAATTTTCTTTCGGAAATCCAATAATGCTTTTAAAATTGCAAGTAATCCTAGGGATTTTCAAAAATTAGTTTCAAGTTTTTCATCCATTTGGCTAACAAAAAAAATCTCACCTTTATGGAAATATGCTGTCACGGTACGCGTAAGCGACTCTAAGAGCTCGACTTACTTATATTGCTGTGGATGTAAATCGATTTAACCTTCCACTCTGAATCATTAACACTTTAATTAACAACGAAAAGACTTTGCTTGGATGAGTGCTCAACACTTTCACTGCACCTTATTATACACTTTAAGAGACTCCGATGTACGTCTTATCCCTTTGAGATGTTCAGAAGAAAAGAAAATTAGAATCTTGCGGAAATAATAAGTGTGGTTGTAAACAGATGTTTGCAAAAGTGAATCTACTACTGGCAAGTAGTAGATAAAAAAAAACTTATTTAATTTTTTAGGGTTTAACTTCTATTATTTGTTTTGAATGCAAAAAAAAAAATTTTTTTCTTTATATATAATACTTATGCTTTGACATAATTCAAGACAAGAAAAAAAAATAGTTATATTTATTAATCGCGCTCACACTGGGTTGTACCGAAGAAAGGAGATGCCTCAGGCGAGAAAAAGTATGGGATGGTAATCGAATGTATTTACAATCACAGAAAGGTACCCAATACCTGAAATAAATGAATTACTTTCCCAACTAGGAAAGAACATCATCTTTTTTGTGATTGACCTAAAAAGTGGCTTCCACCAGATTCCTCTTAAGGAATCTGTAGTGGAAAAAACAGCCTTTTCTGTGAACAATGGTAAATACGAGTTCACAAGATTGCCATTTGGTTTAAAGCATGCCCCATCCATTTTTCAACGGACTTTAGACGACATACTAACAGAACATATAGGGCGAATATACTACGTATATATAGACGATATCATTATATATAGCAAAAATTAGAATTAAAAGATTACTAGGATTCGTCGTATCCTCCGAAGGAATTTCCACATACCCATCCAAAATAGAATCAATAGAAAATTTCCCATATCCTCAAACGATCAAAGACTTAAAGTTATTTCTAGGCTTATCTGTGTATTATAGACGATTTATTAAAGATTGCGCTAATCTGGCAAAGCCTTTAACATCTCTACTTCGAGGTGAAGAAGGAAGACTGTCAAAAAGCAGCTCCAAAAAATACCGATAAATTTTAATGAAAATACAGAGGCAGCATTTAATAAGATCACCGGCATGCGCCGATCAAAATGCTGGATCGACTTAAAATCGAATAAGCAAAATAAATCACATGCAATAACATCCGGCATGCGCCGACCCAGCACCAATCAATATATGGCTGACACAGGTAGAATTAGGGTATAACACGACATACTAACAGAACATATAGGGCGAATATACTACGTATATATAGACGATATCATTATATATAGCAAAAATTAGAATTAAAAGATTACTAGGNTCCGAGACTCCTAGGCATAAAAGAGCCAAAGAGCCTACCAGAAGCCCTACATCTTTGCCTGGAGTTGGAAAATCAGAATTTCAGAGCAAACCATGCCTTCAACCAAATGTTTAATACACCACCAGCCTCCCGCCAACAAAGTTTCATGGCACCCATACCCAGACAACAACCAGTTCCCCCAAGATATGCACAACCAGCAAACCCATTGTTCCAATCGAAATTTTACCCCGAACTGGCCCATATACCACAACCTCCGCAAAACTATCTTCAAGAAAATGTGAATCCTCATAACTTACAACAATATCCCCAAGAAACCTACATAGATACCAATCACAAAATCTTCATAGTCCACCTCAAACTCTTAAAACCTTTTTAACTTGGAAGATTGTAGACTAAAGTTCTTCTTACTAACCACACTCAGAACATTCCACGCTATACAAGGAAACGATAGTTTGAAAGAACTCTCTGCGGTCATACACAACCAATATAGAAATAATATGGCAGAAATTGATAAAATCCCAGACGTTGTGAGATCTTTAAGAGAACTCTCGGGGAACGCCTCAGAATTCAGCTCGTGGAAAAAAATGTCGTGCGTATCTTGAGGATATATGAATAGGATATATGAACTCCTAAATACTTCGGCAATCTAAACGTCATGAGGAATAAAATAGTGGGAAAGGCAGATATTGCCTTAGAATCATACAATACCTCTCTGGATTGGACAGCCGTTTCCCGTTGTCTAACCACAGACTATGCCGACAAAACATACATAAGCACTTTGAAATACCAAATGACTTGTCTTATACAAGGAAAACTGACAATAAACGAGTTTTATCAAAAAGTTTATAGCCACCTTTCCCTTATCCTCAATAAAATCGGATGCATGGAGAAAGGTGAAGAAGCGGTTCACCTCTTAACGGACAACTGTAGTGCTAAAGCCCTCGACACATTCGTGAACGGACTCTCTGGTGATCTTCCGAGACTCCTAGGCATAAAAGAGCCAAAGAGCCTACCAGAAGCCCTACATCTTTGCCTGGAGTTGGAAAATCAGAATTTCAGAGCAAACCATGCCTTCAGCCAAATGTTTTATACACCACCAGCCTCCCGCCAACAAAGCTTCATGGCACCCATACCCAGACAACAACCAGTTCCTCCAAGATATGCACAACCAGCAAACCCATTCTTCCAATCGAAATTTTACCCCGAACAGGCCCATATACCACAACCTCCGCAAAACTATCTTCAAGAAAATGTGAATCCTCATAGCTTCCAGCAATATCCCCAAAGAAACCTACATAGATACCAATCACAAAGTCTTCATAGTCCACCTCAAACTCTTTAAACCTTTTTAACTTGGAAGATTGTAGACTAAAGTTCTTCTTACTACCCACACTCAGAACATTCCACGCTATACAAGGAAACGATAGTTTGAAAGAACTCTCTGCGGTCATACACACCAGAGAGAGTTTTATGGTTATAGCAAATACAAAAAGAATCTACCTAAGGCAAGACAGCATCCAAAGTATCAACAAAATAGAAATTAGGTACGAGCACATGACAGCATTAGGGAAGAACGAAATAAAACAAACAACACAGAAACACAGCAATCTATTCTCTGAACCGAACCAGAAACTGACTAATACAACTAAAGGGATAGCGGTAATCCGAAAAACCTCAGACACTCCCGTATACGCCAAATCATACCCATACCTCATCAGCCTAAAGCAAGATGTCGAAAAGAAAGTGAACAAATTGCTTGAAGATGGCATTATAAAGAAATCTAGGTCTCCTTACAACTCACCGGTCTGGGTTGTACCGAAGAAAGGAGATGCCTCAGGCGTGAAAAAGTATGGGATGGTAATCGAATGTATTTACACAGATAGGTACCCAATATCTGAAATAAATGAAGTACTTTCCCAACTAGGAAAGAACATCATCTTTTTTGTGTTTGACCTAAAAAGTGGTTTCCACCAAATTCCTCTTAAGGAATCTGCCGTGGGAAAAACAGCTTTTTCTGTGAACAATGGTAAATACGAGTTCACAAGATTGCCATTTGGTTTAAAGCATGCCCCATCCATTTTTCAACGGACTTTAGACGACATACTAACAGAACATATAGGACAAATATGCTACGTATATATAGACGATATCATTATATATAGCAAAACCGAAAAGAACGAAACATTCGCAAACACATAGACACAATTTTCGGACTCCTTAATAAAGCAAACATGAAAGAACAGATAGAGAAATGCTAGGATTCGTCGTATCCTCCGAAGGAATTTCCACATACCCATCCAAAATAGAATCAATAGAAAATTTCCCATATCCTCAAACGATCAAAGACTTAAAGTCATTTCTAGGCTTCTCTGTATATTATAGACGATTTATTAAAGATTACGCTAATCTGGCAAAGCCTTTATCATCTCTACTTCGAGGTGAAGAAGGAAGACTGTCAAAAAGCATCTCCAAGAAAATACCGATAAATTTTAATGAAAATACAGAGGCAGCATTTAATAAGATCAGTTCCACCTTAATATCCAAAGACGTAATATTGCAGTACCCCGATTATAACAAAGACTTTGACCTTACCACTGATGCCTCACAATTTGCCACAGGCGCAGTTCTAGAACAAAACAGGAAACCAATCACCTTTATATATCAAGGACACTAAGCAAAACAAAGGAGAATTACGTTGTAAATGAAAAGGAAATGCTCGCTATAATTTAAGCAGTAAACTCGCTTAGAGATTATTTGTATGGAACAGCAAAAGTAATTATCCATACAGACCACCAACCACTCACTTACGCTATGAGCAACAAAAACAATAACACTAAACTAAAACGATGGAAAGCAATTATGGAAGACTACAATTACGAAATTAAGTACAAACCTGGAAAATCAAATGTGGTTGCCGATACATTATCAAGACCATTCGAAGTAAATTCTTTATCAGTAGCTACACCTATCGGAAATTATGCGCTGTCTCAAAACAGAATAGACCCATCTATTGTTCCAAGAACTTTTAGATAGATCCACATTAAATACAACTACACCATACACTCCGCAATAGGAAAACGACCGATAGAGACCTTTTTTGGCAGACGAGTCTTAATAGACCCCGAACAATATGAAAACGCACGCGGAGAAAACATAGACATACTTAAGAAAAGACAAGCGAAAGTCTTAGAAACCCATAACAAAATAAGACAACCCATAAAAACATATTCCCCTGGTGATATAATTTACGTCAGGATAAATAAACGACTAGGATCTAAACTTACTGCAAGATATAGGAAAGAAATAGTAAAAGAGGACAAATCCAGTATAGTAAGAGGACGGACAGTACACAAAAGTAATATCAGATGATAGTAAACGAAATTTTTGTCTTACCCCTCTCTTACAGATTCCTCGTACATTTAGTGTACGCAGACTTCAAAATAATTGATTACACGAATAGACATTCGACACAGGACTGACAAAAATGCAAACTGGAACTTACAGAATAATCCATAAGAAAGATCTGGACACATGTCAGGAAAGGTTGAACGAAATAAGTAGAACCATAAAGGCAAAAATTACCCCACAAAATCCCCTTTTACCCATCCTCATCAACGAATTGAATTTAACGCAAACACATCTAGATAGGCTAAAATTTAAGAGATTTAAGAAGTCGATAGATGAAATAGGAAAAGTATGGAAATGGATCGCAGGAAGTCCTGGTCACGACGATCTTGTCATCCTGCATAGCCAAATAAATAAGATAATAGAAAATAACAATTACC